GTGTAGGGGGAGGGGGAGGGGGGGTGCAAAAGTCACCTTCGCTTTCACCCTGACAAATTCTGTTGTGAGAGGTGCGTTGCAGTGCCATTCATGTCAATGGCACGGCACCCACCCACAGTGTGATCGCCCACACTGGAACACACAGTACTGTAATGCCATGCGTTTCAGTACAGTGCTATTGCAATAATTTGTGCATGCAGTTTTATTCTGAAGTAAACTTTGTTTGGAACACTGCATTTGTGTATTTTATTTTAAATCAACGATGGTATTTAAAAAAAATTCTGATTAATCCAAAAAATTATCAGCCAACTAATCTATTATGAAAATAATCAGTAGTTGCAGCCCTATATTAAGATATACTTAAAAACCCCACTCTCAAATCACACAGAGCAAATAAGGGCAGAGTACAATATGTTGCCATGATTCTATATAAAGATCACTATGATATTTCATTCTGAGAACTGACTCAGAGGACAAAGGTCTATAGAAAGAGATAGTGGAATGTATTGATTACTACAGCGTCTTGGAGCCGAGATTACCACATCTTCGTTCTATCTGCTAATCAGGCTTATTTTTGCCCTTTATTGCACTATTTGTTGGAATAAAGGTTATTGGGCCTAATTTGTGGAGCGGTGTTAGCACATAATGGAATGCAAGTTTATCCAGTAGCAGCCCATTGCTGCTTGGAGAATCCAGAGCCATTGTCCCATTTGCCAAATTCATACATGTGAAATTTGCAAGCCTTGCTATTCCCCGTTTTGCTCTCAGGTCCATGCAAAACCATCTCATGTCTTCCATTTGGCACAACACACATCCCAGAGTAGCACGGAAGACTATGTTTTGCCGCTGCCAAGATGGCCTAGTTAAAATACGATAAGGCCACACACATTTCACCCTTCATGTACAGGTTGAACCCCCTCTCTGGACCCTTTTGGAGATCCCATATTCCCACCTGTGTTCCTTTTCCTCTATTCCCCTTACTACTCTTCTAGGGAATCCCATGTTCCAACCAGCATTTGACAGCCCATCGGCTTTCACCTGGTGGCA